GCCTGAAACTTGAAAAAAAAAACCTGCTGAAGATGACATAAATTTTTTTTTAGATATAGGTTTAGAACAAGCAGATCATGGATAGGATAGATGTACAACTCATGCAATGTTATTGGATAACCGAGATCAGGAGGCCTTCTCAATGACTCACTTTCATTGTGGAAAAGAATGATCGGAGACGGAAAAGGGTAAAGTAAACATCTGTAACCATAAACTGAAGCCTAAGATAGTCAAAGCATTCATAAGAAGGCACTCAACTGTTCTAAATGAATTAAAATTCTGTCCCAGAGTGGTGACAAGTCTCACAGATTTCATAGTTGCTAAAATTTCAGGACCGCGGTGTGGTGATATGTGTCAGAGGAGTGGAGACAGCATACTGGTTTTGGTTTTTAAAAGGAACAGGAAGTACATGGGATCCTTAGACTAGAACAAGGGATATTATGTTGACTGAATGCACAATTCTAGAACATGTTACTAAAAGGATGATTTGTAAGCACTTTTAAAAAAAGATAGTAACCATGAGAAGGCAGCACAAATTCTCTAAGAACCAGTCATGTTAAACAAATCTCATTTCACCTATTTTTACATGGCTATAGAATTGGCAGATCAGTAAAAATGCAGGCATACTGTATCTGGGTATCAGCAAGGCATTTGACAAGGTCTCTCATGATATGCCTGTAAACAAGATGGAGAAATGTGGGTGGTATTCTAGTAAAAGAATGTTGCCTGATGGACAAGTGTCAACCCACAGGAAGGATTCCAGTGGCGTGCCACAGAGCTCCAGCCTTGATCTTGTCCCACATAGCATTTTTATTAATGACTTACAAATAATAATAAAAAAAAAGAAATGAGGAGAGCATAGCTAACAAAAGTACAGATGACACAGTTATGGGAGCAATACAATGCAAATACTTTGTATAGCAGAATTTGAAATTCAACTACATCTCCACAGGCTAACAAGGTGAAATCAAATTAAGCCAAATCAAGGCTCTAAACATATTTCCACCCGTACCCCCCATCCCAAACACAGAGTTAAAAACCTCCAACTACAGGGGCGCTTGGGTGGCTCAGTCGGTTAAGCGTCTGCCTTTGGCTCAGGTCATGATCCTGGAGTCCTGGGACCGAGCCCCATGTCAGGCTCCCTGCTCAGGGGAGAGCCTGCTTCTCCCTCTGCCCCTCACCAAGCTTGTTGCTCTCTCCCTCTCATTCTCTCTGTCAAATAAATAACTAAAATCTTAAAAAAAAATCTCCAACTATATAATTTTAGAATAAAAGAAAGGTGGCTTAGCCTCAGAACTTGTTAAGAAGTTTTAAAAGTTCAGTTACTAAGTGTTCTCAATGTATATCAGTAGTGTTATGTAGCCACCAAAAAAGCTTATATTGGAATAGACAGCATTAATGGAAATATTTAGTCAGAACAAAGGAGACACAGGCGACTGCGTGGCTCAGTTGGTTAAGCATCTGCCTTCTGCTCAGGTCATGATCCCAGGGATCAAGCCCTACATTGGTCTCCCTGTTCACTGGGGAGCCTGCTTGTCCCTCTCCCTCTGCCCCCACCTCCCTGATTGTGCTCTCTCTCTCACAAATAAATAAATAAATAAAATCTTTAAGAAAAAGAACAAAGGAGACAACCAATTGTTAGTCATAGCACAAATTTTGGAATGAGTCAATCATGGTGATTGCTGAGAGTTCCATCTAAGGTACATCAGCTCTGTTCCCAACCCTTGCTGAAGGGGCAGCCATAGGTGGCCATGCTGTAGGCTTGTTTTTTTGTTGTTGTTTTTTTAATCACATGGCCCTTTCTCTCCCCCGGCCTCACCTTACTGAGAGAATACAGTTGTCTCCCCTTATCTGAGGGAGACACATTCCAAAATCCCCAGTGGATACCTGAAACCAGGAATAGTACTAAACGCTATATATACTATGTTTTCCTATACATAACTATGATAAAGTTTAATTTATAAATCAGGCACAGTAAGAGACTAACAACAATAACTGATTGTAAAATAGAACAATTATAACAATATATTATAATAAATGTTACGTGAATGTGGTCTCTTTCTCAAGATACCTTACCGTACGTACTCACCCTTCTTCTTGTGATGATGGGGGATGATAAAATGCCTATCTGATGAGATAAAGTGGGGGAATGACCTAGGCCTTGTGACACAGCATCAGGCTACTACTGACCTTCTGACGATAAGTCAGAAGGACGATCATCTGTTTCTAGACCACAGTTGACAGCGGGTAATTGAAACTACAGAAAGCAAAACCGCCAATAAGCGGGGGGACTACTTTATCTTGAAAAGATGTTCTCAGTTATTTGAGGCAACCTGAATGAACTCTGCTCCCTGTGACCAGGGAGCCTAATAAAACCCCCCACCTGCATTCAGCCTTGGCTAAGACACTTCAAGAGCAGTGCAGTCAGCAGTTTAGAACTGTGTTCTAAAGAAAGAGACTAGGATGGAGGATTTGAAACCAGCTGATGTGAGGAAACAGAAGGAACTGGGGAAACATGCAGGTCAAAGAAGAACAGGATCAGGAAGATTGAAGGGCTGTCAGGTGTGTGAGGGATTTTATTTATTCTGTGAGATCACATAAGCAGATCTGGGAGAAATGGGCAGAGTTAAGAGGTGAGAGATTTGGGTTCAATAAGAATCCTCTGGTAGTTGCTTGAGATGGAATAGAATGGCTTCGGGATAAATCAATCACCTATTTTGGAGCTATTTAAGCAGAGGCAAGTGACCACTTAGTAAGGATAATAGTATTTTTTTAAATTTTTATCTTTTATAGCAGTATTACCTTTGAGTTGTATAACGCTTTGCAATGTATGAGGCACTTTCTGCCACACTAGCTCGATCATCTGTACAACGTGTTGAGACAGGCATTTCCACATTCACTTTTACAGATGAGGAAGCTGAGGCTCATGACGATGTGCCAGGATGCCCCCAGAGTTACCTTTTACTGAATACATGTGAAGCAAACATTTCAAAGGATATATATTTGGGAAATCCTAGCTTATCAAGCTGACAAGGTTTCTAGGTTTTTAAAAAATTCATCTTTGTGGGGCGCCTGGGTGGCTCAGTCATTAAGCATCTGCCTTTGGTTCAGGTCATGATCCCAGGGTCCTGGGTTCGAGCACCGCATCGGGCTCCCTGCTCCGCGGGAAGCCTGCTTCTCCCTCTCCCACTCCCCCTGCTGTGTTCCTTCTCTCGCTGTCTCTCTCTCTCTGTCAAATAAATAAATAAAATATTAAAAAAATTCATCTTTGTGATACTGAATATATTCCCAAACGTACTAAAAAGGTACTCCCTGCACAATCTCACATGAAAACTTATGTTCTTCTCTGCGTCTTACGAAGCTGAGACCAATTAATACATTCCTTGCATGGATACAGAAGGTCCGTGGGTGCAGTTTGTACAAACACGCCTAGATGTACACTTCAAATAAGAATAGTTTTCTCTTTCCTTTTGCCTGAGCCCCATTCCCCACCTTCCTTCCAGATTTCTTGTTATTGGGCTTCTTAGAGGGAAGGAGTGTGTTTTGCTCGTCATGATCACTAGATAACCAGATTGCCCCACTGTTTCCTTAGCTCTCTATCACCAAGCCCCACAAAAGAATTAAGAGTGAGTAAATATTTTTGAGTAAATAAATTTTAAAAAGGAGTGAGTAAATCACCAACATTTGCAAAAACTCCTTGAAGATACACATTGTTCTCTGCTACTCTCACCTCAGTCACCTCCCTCTTTCATTAAAAAAAAAAAAAGAAACGATACACAAACACTATCACTGGTACAGTTCTAATTGGGTTATCTTCACCATCAGAACTGACTGCTATATTTTCTCTTGGGAGAGAACAGAAATATCAGTTTATGAATCTATTTAATCTAGTAGTGATGGATGATATAGAATTTCCTGGATTTGAGCCATAATGCTCTCAGTTTGTTGGTGGTGACATGTACACTGATGCCATGGCTGGCATATAACTTAATCTGCTATGAAAAAAACAAGCAGTCTTATAATGTGCATTTATTAGTCCTCCCCTTTCCATTCCAATTCCCAGATATTGGGATGGAAATTGATCAGAGTTGACAGCACACATTGCTTATGAAGTGATATATTATACCCATTGTTTGCATACAAATGTGTTCAGAAAAAGCTTTGGTAGTAGATCTAACTAAGGCATACAGAAGGCAAGGGGAAGTCCTTGAATTTAAAAGATAACAAAATCATATGTTTTATTAGGTAATGTCTATGTTAATAGGAAGTTGTAATTTTTAATTTAAGAGGGAGTGTCTAGAAATGATGAATAATTTCTCATTTAATCGCCTCTAGTGCTAAAGTCTATTATGACCCAGAGACCTAGAACTGTAACTTTAATCCCATGAAAAAGATTTAAAGAGTGAATCTTAAAACCTAAATATGTGAAGTGCCAGAAAAATAGAGGCAAACTTTTTTGTCAAAAGACCAAACAGCACCTTAGAGGCAGAATTGAGTTTTTTTTTAAAAGTACACACGGACCTCCGATCTATGAAGCAAATCCTTTTTAAAAATGTTTGAAGGCAACTTACTTTTTGAAAGAATCTTAAAATAAAATCCAAATTGTCACTGTTCCTCCAATTGTGTTTGGATTTTCCTGTAATGTTGCAGTTTCCTAAAACAAGGGGCGAGTGCCTTTTACACGGAGGACACGTTGATAGTTTAGATAATTGCTTCGTTTCATATGCTTTGGTGGGTGGCTGCCTGTGGGGTGTTTATGCATCTGTGGTTTCATCTTTCCATGTGAATCTGCTTTGGTCTGTGTCGGTGAGTGTGCCCGAGTCTAGATGTGTGCGCCTGTGTGCGTTCCTGCGCCCGCAGAGGGGTCTGCCTTCTGCCCAGGCATCTGGGTGTGCATTCGTGTGTCTCTGCAGATGTCTACGGTGAAATGAGTTTCTGCACTTGGTGGAATCATCCTCTGCCAATATTTAAGTTATTGGGATCAATAATAGCTCAAGTACCTGGTCTCCAATGGTATGTTGCTATTCAAGACCCAGCTGTTATGCAGATGAACCGAATCCTGTGTACTGGTTGGGGGAGCTGGAGCAGCTGGGCTGGGCTGGCTGCGGGTAGTCATTGATCTCCTCTGAAGAGAGTCGGCTGCAGGGGGTGGTTTCCTGGCACAGGTGCACGCATGCGGAGGCGGCGGCGGTGGTGGGAGGGGTCTGAAGGTGAACTGGTTGTGTGGGCTGCTCTGCATGTCTAAAGAGGAGAGAAGAAAAACACCAAATAGAGACTTACTCTCCCACTTGGCAGTCAGGAAGACACAGCTTGTCCGACTGAGGATTTCAGAAGAATATAACCTGTGGGGTCGGGGCAGAGCTTTAAGTTCAGTCTATCTGTAAAAATGTCACTTAACTTACAAAAACACGTGCCGCACGCTTATGAAATGTAAAACATTCACAGTTGCATTTACATGTAAATTCTTCAGGGCTATAGCAGCTAAAAAGTAAATGAGGCTGCCTCACAATTTGTCATAGTTTCTGCTACCGAACAAATAAATCATAAACAAGACACTAAGTTACAGAACAGAAGTGAGCAGAATTCCATCAGTTGCAAAAGTCTCAATTCGGAAAATACCAGTGAAAGGCACAAATTTGTTGCAAGAAAAATCATTCGACACTTCAAATAAAAGTATAAGGCCACCTTCTGGCTTACCTCAGGAAAGGATGCTAGCCTGCCTACACAGGAGCAAATCCATACTCCAGAAAAACATCTCCCTGAGTATGGAACTCAACTGCGCGAAACTCATCTCTTTGCCAGCACCGCCCCCCGCCCCGCCCCCAACTAAGAGTGCAGCTTGGAAAAGGAGTTTGTTCAGGTTATTATATATATTTCCATGGCCATGCAACACACAGTCTGCGCTCCTCCCCCACCCGCCACACCTTTCTAGGAGCTCTACCATATTAGCGGCAGCTTTGGTGGAAGGGAAACCATTTTTTTCTCTGCCTCTTTGCAGTGGGGGCAGCCTGGGACAGCAGTCCTCAGACTTCTGTTGTCGCTATTGTTTGGTGTTTTTCCACTGTTTTCCTGGCAGGCACACGTATAGAAAGCGAGTTAGAATTTGGCCCATGAGAAATGCCCCAATTAAACCCCTTTGAAAAGGAATCACTATTGTAGCTGATAGCCACCTCTCTTCCACAGGAGAAACATAATAGATGTCAAGTGATCTCTTGTAACACCAGCACGTTCTGGATAAACTTTGTAGACAGCATGGCTTTGTCCCACCTCCCAAATGACTGAGAGTTAAAAAGCAGAAAAATGCCAGAGGCTTTCCATGCCTAGCAAAAGGGCTCAGCTGGTTTGTGCTGAGACTCACTTTGCAGTGGCTGATCACAGGGAAAAAAACAACTTCTTTCCATCCCTCTATCTCCAACTTGAATTTCGAAGACACTGGCATGGTTTTCATATTTTAAAATGATACCGGTGCCCCAAGAGCATGACAAACTCTTGGCTATGTTTTCTCCTATAGATGGCTCTCCCTTTAAATAAAGTTGCTATATGAAAAAGGAAGTTGTACAAAAGATAGATAGGGAAAGGAGTAGTGATCATTCATTTTAATACAAAATATTCCTTTAGATAATCACCTACCCTTGGATATTTAAAAGGAACTAAAATGCTTCATGAATTTTCGAAATAAACCCATTATTCCAGGCCCAGCCCAAATCCCATATCCACTAAAAATATCATCACAAGCACTTAACATCTCATTAATTTTTTTAAACCTCAGGGCTCATATTCATAACCATAACTAGAAGCATGCTTTCCATCTTTGGACTCAGAAAAGCACTGAATGCTGGAACCCAAAAGACCTTGAAAATCCTTTCATTTTTGCAGATGAGAAAACTGATGTCCAGAGAACAGCTTGTCCAGGGACACTGGGCAGGGCCCAAACTAGAACCCACATCTCCTGACTCTCTGGCCAATGCTCCACTCACTACATTGTAGACCTTTGTAATACAAGCTCTCTTTACCTCCTTAAGATTTAGAGACACAGAATCCTCCACATCTTCTGGATTTTTCACTTATGACATACCGCCTTTCATTGTGGTTATTTGTTTATATGTCTGCTTCCCTCCTTAGCTCTTATCTCCTTAAGCGTCGAAAAGGAAGGTGGTTTGGCGTAATAGTATGCAGTGCAGCATCGTGGAAAGAGCATAGAATTTGGGGGTAATGGCAAACCTGGGTTTGAATTCTGCCTCTGCCATTTGGAAACATTAACTCCTCATTTGTAAAATGGAGATAATCTTTCTCTTAGCAATTAAATTTAATTAAATGTTCTTGGACATACGTCACACATCAGTGACTACTCATTTATTAAATGCAGTAGAAGGATGAAACTTTCAGACTGGAAATGACCATAGGGATCACCTAGTTCAGCTCTCCTTCCTCCCCTCTCCATTTTACAGATGAGAAACCCAAGGCTCAGAGAGGTAAAGTGACTTGTTCAAAGTCATTCAGCTTGTATGAATTTGTCTGCCTATGTCTGATGATTCCCAGCCAGCCCAGCACTTTTTTTTCCATATGCTATTTTGGAAAATAAATATGACTGTCTTCTCTGACTTTACCATTTACTATTTTTATCATAACTTTGGCCCCTGAGTTTGTAATATTATAGTATTCCCTTGTTATCCCATGTTTTTGTCTTATCTACCAAAATGGACTGTATATTTCTTAGAGCAAGATCATATTCTACTTTTCTTGCATGTCACATGAGCACAGTGCTAGGTACAGAGTAAAATCCCTAAGAGCTTTTATTTCACTCCCCCATGGGACCTAGAGAACCACTCTCAGCGTCCCCTGGGCTCTTTCATTCTGATGTGGTCACTGGGTATCTATTTGACAGTTCACAAAGCAGTAGGTTTCCCCCTTGGAGGTCCTAGTGAAATCTCTCCCACAGCCATGGGGAAGGACAATGATACCCCAGAAAGGTGCTTAAAATCACGTCCCTCTAAGACATGAAAAGAGCAGCAGTGACACACTCTACAGACTTGCCATCTAAATCCACGAACTTAATGATGCAGGCAAGGGAAACAAAGGGTGGGAGTCCAGAGTTAGAAGAAGAAAAGGAATCTAGTTTAGGTGTTGTGTCCAGAACACCTCCAAATGACATGTGACATCTATTAGCTTAATCAGTAGGTGTTTGTGTCAGTATAGTTGTTCAAAAGACAGAAAGTCTCTATTCAGTACAATTGTTCAAAAGAAGAATCACTCATTATCATCTGGATCTATTGCTTGCTGGATTTCCTCAAAATCTTTGCAACTTCCTTATTATGAAACATGATAAAAATTCTACTTCATTGAAAAGTACAATCATGGTATTATTGTAACATTATATCATTTCTGCTGCAGGTAGAACTGCTCTGTATAGTTATTTTGATTGTATGTGTGTGTGTGTGTGTTGATTTATATCTATTTTATTATATATTTTTATTTTCACATTTTAAATACGCCAGGTTTCCCTACTTGTTAATATTGTCTTTAAAAGCTTTTACAATATTGGATTGTTGAATTGAGTGGAATACAACCAGACCTTAAGCCCTTATGAAATGCAAATGATCTCAGCTTCATTCTTTTTTCCACCTCAGGAAAAAGATGTGGAATGCACTTGATCTCTTCCAAATGAAGTAATTTAATCCTTGGGCTCCATGAAATGGGATTTCCCAACATTAAACACTAATGAAAAATACATTAGGGTTCAGTGTCAGGAGCTCTAGAACACCAGTTCCAAGGGGTGAAGAGTCACATGCATTCACTTCCAAATGTATCTGGCAGCCATGCATTTCTGTGCCCAAGAGAGAGACATAAGGGAAGGGGGGGGTGTAGTGATTATGCAAATGTGGATATCTGGACATACTTATAAAGTTTTATGAAAGTAAATTAAGATTTCAGATGGAAGGTCTAATTCACATAATATACTTGGGTAGGATCCAGTTTCAGGTTTGAGGTCTTAAAATAACTTGGTAATAAAAATCTCCAGGGGAGGAAAATTCCTCCAAATTGTATATCTAAGGCATTTTAGGAGAGGCAGAACTGTTAACAGAGGTATATGCCTTCAGGAACAACATTGCCATTGTCTCCAAAACGGAAGCGGGAAAAGAAAGTGGTCATGCCTAGTTGGGTTTTTTGTTTTGTCTTTTTTTAGCTCGAGAAACTTTTCACCAGAAATTAGAATACCTCTACTCAGAAACACTGTGTGGGAATTTATTGAAGGGTCCATTAGGGTGTTGTGCCCCTTATGCTTCATTAACACAGTCCATTGGGCTATAAGGCGACGGTTGCATTTCTAACATTCACTGCCCTATGCAAAATCATGCACTGGAAAAGAACTTAATGGGGAAAGGGGGTTTGGGGCAAAAGACCTGAAGTTTGCTTGTGAAAGTGAGCGTCAGATGGGTTGCAACTTATGAGTTACTGTGGAGTGATGGAAGGAGGGTTGTCCGAGTCACACAGAAAGATCTAACCCCAGATGTGGATGGGCAAGGTTCCTAACACAGGGCGGTGAACTAAGACAGCTGGTGGTTGTTTCAGGTATATGCACGTGTGTATTTTGTATATTCCTACATGGTTCATTCTGCTGGGCGTAGTTTTCTGCCTTCCCCTAGTATTTTTAACAGATGGAATCATATGTATGCAGACATGAAATTTGTCTTATGTTCAAATTGTTCTCAAAGATACCAAAAGCACGAGAACAAATTGATGTTTTCAAAACAAGCGTTGTAGCAGAACTGACTGTACAAGCAAAATAATTTTCTGTTAAGTGTTAAAAATAAATACTGTCATTAATACAGCAATGCTAATGGATAATTCTTTTCTGAAAAATGTAACCAAAGTAGACACATGCCTAGTTTTCCCCAGATCCATGTACTTAACCAATCAAACTTTTCTGTACTGATACTAGGACAATAACCTCCAAAATCTGTTTTTTTCCCCAAAGTTACTATGCAGTGTATGTTACCAAGAGGAGCACCTATATTCTCAGAGCTGTAGAAAAAGGTCACAGGGAGTCAGAAAACATGTCTGCCCTTCCTGGCCTTAAGTCTGTGTTTCATTAACTCATTGGCCAAAGAGAAGATGGCGGGACAATACCTCATCTGCAGCTCTGGAATCAAGAAATTCCTGAAAACGGAGGTTTTTTTTTTTTTTTTTCCTCATTCATTTGGTAGCAAAACCTGATCTAAACTGAAATAAGGGTATTTATG